CATTTTTACTTGTCAACCTTGGGGCTTCTCAGCCTCAGCAGCCAGCAACTGTCTGAGTGAAGAAATGCCTCTAGCTGCTGTTGACCGGGAGCAGGGGGCAGAGCTGGACCCCAAGGTTGAGGGGCTTTCACCCAGTCCCTAGAGCCTGGCACTTTGAACTTGGACTTAAAGCCTCCGAATTGTAAGAATAAACTCCTGTTTGTTAAGACCATCCCATTTGTGGTATATTTCTTGTCAGAGCAGCACTAGGTAACCAGGACAGAGTTGAATCACATCACACACATCAAAGATTTGTATGTTTATTATGATAATTTTCCATTGAAGGAGAGTAATAAATTTTGGTTTTGTTTCAATCTAATAAATTATATATTAGGGACAATTTGACTGATAGAAGTGTCTGTAAGAAGGAATTCCTTTCTCTAATTGTCAAAAAGGCATTAGATGGGCTAGTGGTGGCCATGATAGGTAACCTACCCTTTGTTGTTGTTGTTGTTATTTGCCGCGCTACCCTTAGAGACATCTTATAAAGCAGGATGCTTCTTGAATTTGATCAAGTATTTTGATTATCCTAAAATTACTATCAGATTTCAATATTAAGTTGTGTTACCTTAGGCAAGTCATTTAACTTTTTGAGTCACATTTTCTCTTTTGTAAAATCAGAGGGCTGGCCAAATGATTAGTGTGGTCCTTTCAACCACTAAAGCCACTCTGTTGTTGTTGTTGTTACTTGCCCTCGAGCTGGACTGGACTCACAGCAACCCCTCCCTGGGTTCCCAAGGCAGTATCTCTATGGAAGTGGATTGCCCAACCTTCCTTCTGAGGAGTGGCTGGTGGGTTTGAACTGCCAGCCTTCTGGTTAGCAGTCAAGTGCCTTAGGCACTCTAAGACCCTCATTATGAAGCAGTCAGAAGAAAGGCCTAGCAATCTACTTCTGAAAAAGCAGCCACTGAAAATACTGTAGATCCCAGTTCTGACATGTGGGAATTAACCACAATGAGTTCTTTTCTTTATGGAGCAGATATATACATGGTTTGTCTGGACAGCATGGATCTTTGAGGAATAATGCAAAGTATCCAAAAGATTGAAAAAAAAAAATCTCAAAGCTAAAGTCTCATTAACTTTAACATAAACTTCAGGCAAAAAAATTTACCAAAAAGGAGGGAAGGACACTAGGTTTTGGGGCATCTATTACATGTCACTTGGAAGGAAGGTTGGGCAATCTACTTCCATAGTGATACCGCCTTGGAAACCCAAGGCTATGAGTCGGGTCCAACTTGATGGCACATAACAACAACAACAATTTTATGTCAGGCATTTCTCATATGTTATCTCATTCGATTTTATAGCCATCTGGTGAGTACTGTTATCCTCATTTTATAGAAAAGGAAACAGCTAGTATGTGGTAGAACTGATCACACTGACCCTCAGAGGAGAAGTTTCTAGTGTCTCAAGAGTCTAGAACAAGAAAAACTAGAAAATGCTAATATTGATGTTATCTGAAATAGGCTACAAAAGAGGTTAGAAAGATCTGGCAGATGTAAACCTTAAGTCTACCAGAATGGTTAGACAAGGGATCCACAAACTGCAGCTTTACGGCTAAGTCTAGCCACCACTTGTTTTTGTAAATAAAGTTTTATTGGAATATAGTCATGACCATTTTTTCATGTATTTCTATGACTGCTTTCCCATGACAATGGCAGAAACTGTAGTTGTAATAGATACTATGACTCACAAAGTCCAGAATATTTACTCTCTGCCCCTTCACAGAAAGTTTGCTGACTCTTGGTAGAGATATATACTTAAAGCTATAACACACCCACCCCCAGAACCTACCACCACCACCTTTGTTATTGATGTTATTGTAGGAAAATTTATTATGGAGAATCAATACATCTATCCTTACTCAAGCATACTAACATTTTCTGTTAGTATGCTTGACATTAGACCAGTTCTTCAAATAGTTGGCTGCGGTTCAAACCCACCAGCCATTCCTCAGAAGGAAGGTTGGGCAATCTACTTCCGTAGTGACACCGCCTCGGAAACCCAAGGAGGGGTCGCTATGACTCAGGTCCAACTCGACGGCACAGCATGTCACGGCACAGCATGTCACGTCATGATCAAACTGTTGTATCATGATCAAACTGTTGTATCCACTTTATCATTCATTGTTATTATAAAGCCCAAACCCATTACTTTAATTACACTGTGTCAACAAGTTTTCCCACGTACATCCTGGTGCTATTCCAGATTGGGGGCTGCAATCCAATGTGTCACAGTTGTATTTCCTAACTCAAGTGTTGTGGTAAAGAAGTGCCATAAATGTCTTTCCTCATTGATAAATGATTGATATCCAGAGATTATTTCTGGCAGGTGGCATGAGGCTTTCATCGATTTTGCTCCTTTCCAAATAGCACAGAGGTTTTCTCAATTGCCATATCTCCCACATGTAGTTTCCACTTGGTTCAAGGGCAGAATTAGTTTCATATGCCAGAATAGGAGCATAGTCGTCAAAAGTCAAATAACTTAATTAAAAAAAAAAAAAATTGAGAGGAATAGAGTTTTTTCCACAAGCAGCAAAAAAAAGAAAAATTATTTGTAATCATTTTCATCACAATTTGAGATAGAATTCACATATCATACAATTCACATATTTAAAATGGAAAATTCAGTGGTTTCTAGTATATTCACAGAATTGTGCCACTATCTTGACAGTCAACTCTAAAACACTGTCATCACCAAAGAAATCCCATCCTCATTGGCAGTCACTCGTTGTTCAACTGTCCAGTCCTAGATGACTGCCCATCTGTGTTCAGTCCCTACAGATGTGCCCACTCTGGACATTTCATATAAGTGAAATTGTGCAATACATAGTCTGTTGTGACTGGTTTCTTTCACGTAGCATAATGTTGGATGGATTCATCCATGTTGTACCATGTATCACCACATTTCTTTTTATTGTCAAATAATATTCCATTGTACAGTTATACTATGTTTTGTTTATCCACTTACTAGGTGATGGTCATTTGAGTGGTTTCTACAGCTCTAGTGGTGTAGTGCCTAAGGCATTTGACTGCTAACCAGAAGGCTGACAGTTCAAAGCCACCAGCCACTCCTCAAGAATGAAGACCAGGCAATCTAATTTTGTAAAGATAAACTGCCTCAGAAACCCAATGGGGGTCACTATGAGTTGGAATCAACTTGATGGCAGTGACTTTGGTTTTTTTTTTTTTTGCTGTGAACATTTATGTACAAGCTATTGTATGGACATGTGTTTTCAATATTCTTGGGTTATATAACTAGGAGCAGAATTCTGGGTTATATATCTCTGTTTATACTTTTGAGAAACTACCAGACTGCTTTCTAAAATGGCTGTGTAATTTTACATTCCCACCAACAGTATATGAGCATTTAATTTTTCCAGACCCTTGCCAACACTTGTAACTATCTTTCATCTTAATATGGCCATCTTAGTTCTATGAAGTGGTATCTTATTGTGAATTGATTTGCACTTCTCTGATGGTTAATGATGTTGAGATCTTTTTGTGGGCTTATTGATGATTTGTGTATCTTCTTTGGAGATATAAGCTATTCAGATCTTTTGCTCATTTTGTAGTTGAGTTATTTACCATTAAGCATGATGCGAGCACTGGGTTTTTTATAAATCCTTTTTATGAGGTTGAGGAAGTTCTCTTTTATTCCTGGTTTGTAGAGTACTTTTATCAAAACCAAATTAAACCTGTTGTCATCTAGACCGCTCCAACTCATGGTAACTCTTGTGTGTTTCAAAGTACAACTGGGCTATGTGGTTTTCAGTGGCTGTGGACATCAGGGCTTTCTTCTGAGGCATGTCTGGGTAGGTTCTAACCTTTCGGTTAGAAGCCAAGTGCTTATTCATTTGCACTACCCAAAGACCCCTTTTATCATGAAGGGGGGTGGAATTTTGCCAAGTGCTTTTCTCCACCTGTTGAGATGCTCATGTGATAGGCAATTTAATCTTATCTATTCCCTTTTCCAAACACTCAAGAGAAAACTCTAAGGAGTAACATTTACTAAATAAATCATAACTTTACTAAAAACAAAAACATAAAGTAGCATTATTGCAAAGCTTTATAGATAGATAATCTAAAGGTATCTAAGGGAAAAACCATTTGAAAAAATATAAAAATATAAGTATGAGGAAACTTGTCTGACTAAGCAGGCAAGCTTCATCTGCTGATTATAGGAATATTTATTCTTATAAGAAAAACGTGGCAGAATAAATTAACAAATGGCACAATCATCACTTTTATGTACATGTGGAAAAACACACGGCAGAATTAAAGTTCTCTGGTAATTCCTGGCATCTCTCTTTCCAAATGTTTTCATATTAAAATAAAAATTTCTAAAAAACATCACTGGATTGACTTAATCAAAATACTTTCCAACAGCACGTCAGCAAGCATTTTAGTTGCGTTGTCCGTAAGATAAATAATATGTGATTCCCAGTCATGGTTTGGTAGTGCTTTTGGTAGTGTAGAGAATGCCTTCTGCTTTAATTCGTTCCAGTATTGGTCCATAGATTGCCTTTGAAAAGGGGCCCATCAGGCCTTTTGCTTGAATTTCACCTGAAAGAAAGTTAATTCATAATTATCATTTTAAAAGTTCATTTCCACAGCAAGAGTCTCCACATAGAGGGTATCACCCCAGTAATAAACTCAGTCAGTGGCTTGCTGGAGGCCTTGGCATTTAAATATAGCTACTTGGATGTCCTCTGCTAAATTATGACTTAATCAGCACTCTGTATGGAATAGGGATTAATTTTAGATCAAAAGCACAGCTGGAGTCAGTGGCCAAATGTGTCCCCTTAACTGAGTTAACTACTGCCAGCATAATCAGAAAGCAAAGGAACAAGGGACAGTAAAACTGGTCTGCTTGACTTGCTGATACCATTTTTCAAAAAAGGCTTTGTACCAACAGAATGAATTACAGCTAATCTGATCACCTGGGTGCCAGCACCTAATGGTGCCAATGACTAGTCCCTAGGTCTCGGTGCTTTTCCCTCCAGCCCATGATGACGCCATCCCTTATCACTGCTTTACTCCAGTTCCTCAATAACTAAATGCCCACTGCATTCAGGTCAATTCCGACTCATAGCAACTCTTCAGGACAGACTAGAACTGTCCCATATGGTGCCACATCTTTCTCCCATGGAGCTGCTGGTGGGTTTGAACTGTGACCTTAAGGTTAACACCCCAGCACTTTAACCACTGCACCACCAGGGCTCCTTTAAATAACTAAATAGGTCATTGAATTTGTCATAGACTGACAGATACACTGTTTTGTAAGTATGCTTTCTCATTGCTTCATTTTTATATGCTCTGATGTTGTCTACTTCCCTTTTGTTTTCACAAGGGCCAAACGGCACATTATATTCAGAGGTAATGCTTACTGAAGGTATAGGTGATCTTAAGGAGAGAATGGAGAGTTGGGATTTAAATTCATTTAGTCCAAAATATTTATGGAATAGTGATAACATGCTGGGGTATGAGATGAGTAAAACATAGTCCATATTGTGGAGGATCTCACAGTGAATATCCCCTATTTAAGTCTGAAGGAGCTCTGGTGGCACAGTGCCTAAGGCATTTGACTGCTAAGCAGAAGGTTGGTGGTTCAAACCCACTAGCTGCTCCACAGAAGGAAGACTTGGGCAATCTACTTCTGTAAAGATTTGCCACCTCAGAAACCCAAAGGGGGTCGCTATGAGTAGGAATCAACTCAATGGCAGTGGGTTTGGTTTTTATTTAAGTTTCGCCACTCCCCAAGATAGCAAAAATCAAGAAAAGAAAGGAAGGAGGCCAGTCTGTTGTTGGAGCATTATGTTTTATTTTACCTAAGCTTCACAATAGCCCTATGAATTAGGGGTAAAACTCTCACTTTAAAGATGAGGAAAGTCTGGCTCCGAAATACTGACTAAATTGCACCCCTTCACACAGCCAGCTGCTAACTGAGCTGGGACTGAAATCAGGCAAACTTCTAAGTCCATGTTCTTTACTCACCACAAGGTGACTTCCCAGCACATGGGTCCTCTGAGATGGTACATCACTTAGAGTGAATGCCACCAGTGTTCTGCTCAAATTACTTGAGCCTGGATAGGCACGGAATGACTGGGAGGTGGTATGGAGACAAACTCAACCCTCAGATGAATGGAACTTACCATCAAGCAACATCTTGGCTGCCATTGCAGTGGGTAGCCCTACAGTTTTTGCCATGGCCGAAAAGCCATTGAGGTCCCCATAAACCACAAGATCAACAGTCTTGTTTTCTAAATGTCCAGACGGATGTCTGATTCCAAAGCTGTCTCTCATCACAATCATATCTCTCTCTCCAGGGCCTTAAAACAAATAAGCAGAAATTTTTTAATGCTGCTATCATTGCAACCCAAATTGCAATTTATCTCCACCTGCCCTTCTGCTCCCACAAGTTTCCCTTCCCATTGTCTATACTACTTGGCAGCCCAAAGACCAAGTGAAAAACTCAAGAAGACTCAACTCTGGTCACGTTCATCTTTGTCCATTTGGTATCATCACAGCCTGGCTACCGACACCAGGACCCGGCTGTAAAGGCCACATGCTTCTCTCGCTAAAACATTTCTGGAGCATTTCCCTAAAATCTTAACAATTTAAAATAAAACAATGTTCTTTTTTTCCCTGTTACTTAGTACTTCTCGAATTCTTCCCTCTGCATAAATAACCCAGGTGCCCTGTCACAAGTGTCTCCTCATTCCTATACTTGGCTCCAGCCTCCAATCCAATTCTCAGGTGGCACTGCCTGCATCTTATGATTCTTCTTTAGGGTGGTTGAGCTACCACCCCTTGGCCTACCATAGGAGAGTTTCATGGCCAGATGCTTGGAGAGCGCGTCCACAATAGACTCCGCCTGAGGGACTCGTTCATCCCCAAGTAAGCCCAGCCTGAGAAGCAAAAAGAGAGCAGCTTAGTGCAAGCCCTGCACATTCTCATTTGGGAAGCAGAAAGGAGGTCCATGGATTTCAATTTCAAGGGGCAGAACCACAAGATGATAGGACTTCCTGAAACTGTACATTAACAATAACAATCACAATCCTTTACCTTTAGAATCACTCCAGACCTCCCCTAGGCGATGAGGCCTGGAGCAGAGTATGCACTGTAAGGTGGGGGTGTTGCACAGTTTTATGGGAGATTAATTTGCAGCTGGTTTGCAAATTAATTTTCAGATTAATTTGTGTGAGCTGTCTCACATTAAGGATATCAGCACAATGCAACACAGCCTTGTAATGCTAACATGATTTTGCCCTGTCATGTGAGAGAACGTATTGAAGTAGTTGGGGAAGACTCAGAGCATCTCCTGTTTTGTTAGTTGCTGTCAAGTCGATTCTGACTCCTGGTAACCCCATGTCTGCAAAGCAGAGGTGCCCTCCATAGGGTTTTCAAGTCACCTCTGGGTGGGTTTGAACCACCACCCTTTGGGTTAATAATACAGTACTTAACCATTTTCACTACCAAGAGACTTCTGATCTCTTATAACCAAAAAGAAACCCAAGCTCATTTCTGTCAAGTCAATTCTGACTTATAGCAACCTTATAGGACAGAGTAAGGAGCTCTGGTGGCACAGTGCCTAAGGTATTTGACTGCTACCAGAAGGTTGGCAGTTCAAACCCACCAGCCACTCTGTGGAAAGAAAACCAGGCAATCTATTTGCGTAAAGATTTACCGCCTCAGAAACCTAACGGGGGTTGCTGTGAGTCAGAATCAACTCAAGGGCAGTGGATTTTTATAGGACAGAGTTGAAGTGCCCCATAGGGTTTCCAAGGTGGTAAATCTTTACAAAAACCAATGGTCACCTCTCTCTCCTACACAGCAGTTTGTGGGTTCAAACTGCCAACCTTTTGGTTAGCAGGCTAACACTTAGCCACTGTGCCACAGGGCTCCTTGAATTTCCTATAGGAAAACAAAAATATCCTGTCTTTCTCAGGAACTGAGTAGTAGTATTTTAAAATAGTATTTCCAAAATCATAATTACCATTGACTTCCTCTCTTTATCTACTTCTTACCTCCAAATAAACATGATGCATGGGGATCTCTCCAAACTGATCAACATTAGAATGGTAAATTCATCAAAGACAAATGTAAAATGTTTCTATCTTGACTTTTCCTTGACTAGCAAACCAAACCCACTGCCACTGAGTTGATTCCAACTTATACGGACCCTACAGGACAGTGTAGAACTGCCCCATAGGGTTTCCGAGGATATTAATCTTTATGGAAGCAGACTGCCTCATCTTTCTCCCATGGAGTGGCTGGTGGATTCAAACTGCTGACCTTTTGGTTAGCAGCTGAATGCTTTAACCACTGCACCACCAGAGCTCTTTTCCCTTGACTGGAAAGACCTAAATAATCATTGCTCTGATATTTTGCTGTAAGTGGGTCCCTACCTTTCAGCGGCCTCTAGCTGGGTATTGTCTCCTCCGAGTTTTTTACAGACAGCTTCCTTAAGCACATCACTCTTGGAGGAGGGCAAAATCCCAACTAGGTCACAGAGGAGTTCTTTCTGGTTAAAAAAAAAAAAATAAGATAAAAATTCTAAGTTCCTAATAAAATGAAAAATAAATAGAGAAATATTCCTATTAAGACACTGAACCTTAAATGCTTTTCAAATTAGATATAGCCAATTATAACACATACACACAGGTGCATACATACATATCAATAAATGCATGGTATTCCAGAATGATGTTGCAGCAATAAAAATGAGTCAACGCATCAACTCATTACTAAACAGATGCCACTATATTTACCAGTCCATTCCCCCTTTTTGTAGATCCTCTCCATCACCTCTCTCACCCATTCTACTCCACTCACCAGCAGTCAATTTTGGTCCAGATAAAGTGAAAAGGCCTTAGTCCTCTGGTTGCTACTAGCAACCAGAGTTCCTTTGTAGATTCAAGAGATGAGAATGGCCTTGCAGATAATAACAATCTCAAAGAAAGAACATTGAAAAAGTGGCCAGAGCTTTTTCTACTTTCCAAAGAAGATTTTTCCAGGCTCCCATGGGAAAAGTCAAGTTTTAGACCAAGGTCAATAGGCCCAATCCAGCCCACTGCCTGTTTTTGTAAAGTTTGATTGGAACTCAGTCATGCTCCTTTGTTTATGGGCTGTCTATGGCTGTTTTCATGCTACAAAGGCAGAGGTGAAGAGTTGTGACTGAGACTGTACGGCCCCATAAAGCCAAAAATTTTTACAATCTGGTCCTTTACAAAAAGTTTGCTGAGCCCTGTTCCAGATTGTAGCCACCATGACACTAGGACCACTTCCAAAAATGCCTGCCCCAACCTTCCTAATATACCTGTCTCCACCCTAGTTCTATTCCACAAATATTCACTCCTGTCCAAAAAGTACATACATGAAAAGTACAACTTAGGTTGGAAGGACTCTCAGATATACAGAAGTCTGAATGTAAAGGCAACTGGCTAACAAGAATACCAATGTTTCTCTGAGGGATTTAATGGGGATTAGCAAGATCAGTCCTTTCTTCCTTGTGATCTGTTTCTGACACGTCTATGGGAATCTGGGCGCACCAGCTGAAGCTGAATGACTGAGCAGCTAGTAGCAGGTTAATTCCTGTGGCCAGTTAATAAGCTTTACTTTGCAGTCAGTTGCAAGCCTCCAAAGTCCTTTCTGACCCCAAGATTCTAAGATTTTGGTATAAAAAAGATATGGGCATAAACTCAACAACTAAAAATTCAAATTACCCATGGTTACCAATGACCAGATGAGAGAACTGATGGGGTTCGGGGGCTGGGAATCCAGTTCTGTGACACCAGTAGCATCCCTCCCGGGCTACCACCTTCAGGAGTCCTGAGCTTAACCCCTATCATCAGTTACCACATTGAAAACCGGCAGAGCCCAAAGCTCAGTGCAGAGGGAAAGTCCATGTATTCCCAGGGCTGAGAGGCAATCAAATGGTGGAAGGTGATGCAGGAAAGCAGGCCTAGTGAGTCAGCCTCTATGTCCTCTCCATGCTCCCAGAATAGTGACGTTCCCTGTTTGGAGACTTTGGGACGAGTGTTTATTTTCCACACTTAAGCAACGGAATGAAGAGCAGCCAACAGCACAATTCTGGAATCACTCACCCAGGTGAGAGTGGCTTCAGCTTGAAGGGCAGGACATGCATCTCTGTTTATAAGACCCAGTTTTACAAATCCATTCAAAGCCTTGGCATATCCCTGAAATAAGAAATAAGCAGTACTTACTTGACTGCTAACCAGAAGGCTGGCGGTTCAAACCCACCAGCCACTCCTCGAAAGGAAGGTTGGGCATTCCTACTTCCGTAGTGATACTGCCTTGGAAACCCAAGGAGGGGTCACTATGAGTTGGGGCCAACTCGACGGCAAAACAACAACAACAGGTAACATGTGAGTGAGACTTAAAGGCAAATTTGTTCATGTGTTCTATGCTGTCAGTATAGCAGATTATTTAATAGTACAATCAGTTGTCTTCTCTCTTATAATGGAAAAAGGTGCTTATAAAAATATCCCCCCAAAAGCAGCACATCAAGCTCAACTGGTATAACATACTACATGAAAACATTGTTCCACATCTGATTTTGGCAAGTAGCAACTGCAATCTTAAAAACCTGCAAGCGGCCATCTAGATATAATGATGGGTCTCTCCTCGTCCAAAGCAAAGAAGAATGAGGAAAAACAAAGATGCATGGACACAATTAGTCCAAGTGACTGGTACACCATGTGATCCTCAGCCTTTTTGACTATGAGACCAGAACTAGATGGTGCCCTTCTACCACTGTCAGCCACTGGGAGGGGGATCTATGTAGGAGATCTTGGATAGAGTGGGAGAACAATGTGGAACAAAACTCAAAATCATTTAAAAGAAGGACAGGTTTACTAGTCTGAGTTAGATAGAACCTGAGAGAACCCCTGAGACTATGGCTGTTAGCTGTCCTTCACGTCTGGAATTGAACCCACTCCCGTGGTTTCCAGCCAAACAAAAGACAGGTATATGAGCTGAACATTTAGATTAGGTAGATACACTCCTTGGAGAGATCAATCATGGGAGAATAAAAGGGCTGTGTATGCACAGGAGACAGCTCAGGGGCAGGAGTGCATGGGACAGAAGGACACAGGGAAGAAGTGACTATGGGGAGGAAGTGGGAAGAGAGCTGTTGCATTGTGGGAAATTGCAGTCAATGTTTATGGGAAAAGGTGTATGTGAGCTGCTGTATAGAAAATATATTTGCTCTGTAAACTTTTACCCAAATCACAATAACAATTTAAAAAAAGAAAAATATCTCCCAAAAGCAGATAACCCATTCTATTGGGTAAGAGTTACTACCCTAATCCCTAATTCCTATATATT